ACATATAATTATGCAGCAAGTTCAAGGCAGGGTATAGGTCTGGATTCTTATATTGCAAATGGCAGAAATCAGTTCAAACTGACTATTTTTATTTTATTTTATTTTTTCTGAGATGCATTCTCACTCTGTCTCCCGGGCATGAGCCATCACACCCAGCCCAAACTGACTTTAAAAATAAAAAAGAACATTTACTGACTCTTTTAATATAAAAGCCCAGGGCCATACTTCAGCCCGAGGCGGAATCCAGGTGCTGAAAGCTGTCATTGGGACTCAGTTTCCTTCTCTCATTTCCCGGCTCTGTGTCGGTCTGTGCCTGCTTCATTCATTCTCCATGGGTGCCCTAGCTGCTCATTAGCGTGGTGCAGCAACCACCGCCCCCCCGTCAGTGTAGCCATCTCAACCAAGAAAGAGCCTCCTTTTTCCCCAGTATTTTTAGCAAAAGTCCGAATCACCACTCTTTTTGACCAGGCTGATCAAGTGCCTATCGTTGAGCCAATCATGACAGCCCTCCTCTGATTGACTAGAGCTGGCTCACATGCCCACCTAGGAGGAGGAGATAGAGTCAGCCCATCTAGACCCCATGGGCTGAGAGCAGGCCTGTGTGGGCCTCCTGGTGGAACAGGTTTCGGCTGTCCCCAGAAGGGCCATGGGTGCCAGCAGGCTAGATATATGGACTTTAGTGCTATTTTTTTTTTCTTTTCCTCTTTTTCTTTTAAGAGACAGGGTCTCTGTCACCCCAGCTGGAGTGCAGAGGTACGATCACTGCTCATTGCAGCCTCAACCTTCTGGGCTCAAGCAATCCTCCCGCCTCAGCCTCCCAAGTAGGTAGGACTGTGCCAGCATACTCAGCTAATTTTTAAATTTTATGTTTTTGTAGAGACAGGTCTCTCTATGTTGCCCAGGCTGGTCTTGAACTTTTGGGCTCGTGATCCTCCTGCCACAGCCTCCTGAAGTGCTGGGATTACAGGCATGAGCACACCTGGCCTTTAGTGCAATTCTTATCCTCCTCTCTGAACTGGGCTGGCCTCATGTAATTGGTAAGGTTTTGGCCCAAACAGAATTATGCTCTCCTTCCTCTGGTTCTCTTAACATTGTGCTTTAAATAGGCTGCCTTCATCTTTCACTTTATCCCACTTCCCTGTATATGGTCTAGGATAGCAAGGTACATGTTGCTACTTCCACCACCCAAACCCATGGCAGACATTACTTATCCACCCAGCCTTCACAGAGCCCAGAATGGAGCTGTGATGGCCTCTCTATCATGTGCCCAGCCTCTAGCCCGTGGTTCCAGGCTTCATGAGCTCAGAGACCTTGGCTGAGTTGTCCACTGCTGAGTTTCATGTGCCCAGTGCAGTGCCTGGTACAGTAGGTGCACCATAAGTTGTTGACTGACTGTTCCTACCTCACAGTGTCTTGGACCCAGTGGGCACCAGTGTGAGCCTGTTGAATGTGAGGGCCCTAACGAAACAATGAGGTCATCTAATTTGGAGGACAGGGAGCTCTGGAGCATGCTGGACTGGCATTTACTGACACTGGCAAGTGTGCCTCTGGGTCTGGGAAAGAGACTGCCCGGGCTGAGCTGCAGCTACAGCAAGGAAAGGGGTCCTGGAGGCTTCTGCCTGCTTTCCCAGACCCACTCTCTCGCGCCATCTCCCCCAGAGGCACCCCTGCTCATCTCTGCTAATCCCAGTTTAACAGTTCATTGAAAAGATCTCAGTTGAGAAGAAACCATTTCCTGACTTTGCACACTTAGATTCCAGGAATCCAGGAGAGCCTTCCAGCCTCAGGGCAAGGAGCTTTGCTGGTAGGAGGAGGTGATCTGCCCCCAATTGCCTGTTTCCCAAACTGAGCTTCTACTGAAAAAAACAACAGAATAAAAAAAAAAGGTCTTCCGGGTTAGGCACTTCTGGGACTGCTTGGCTCAGCAAAGCTCAGCAGATTTTCTGGGCAGTGATTCTTACCCCTGAGCTGGTTGGTGAGGACCACATTCCCCAGGGATCTTCTCCAAGGCCCCTCGCTCTGGCCCTGCTATGTTCGTGTGCCCCTCAAGAATAGTCAGGCCACGTGACTGAGCTGGTGGGGCACTCAGGAGTGTGGGCTTTCTCTGGCTGGGGCTGTGGAGCAGCTTACCCATTTGCAGCTGAAATCTGTCTCCCTCTGACCAAGGGTAACATGCTGGTTCTTGCTGCTGACTGAGTTTTGGGCACCCGGCATCCAGGAGAGGGGCGTGTGTGAGTAAGGGGGCGTGTGTGAGTAAGGGGTCGTGTGTGAGTTAGAGTGCATGTGTGTCCCATGTGGGTCTATGTGTGGCTGTGAATGTGCGTGGCCAGCACAGGCAAGTGTGTGTGGGGCTGGGAGTCTGCATATGATTACACATGTGTCTGAATGTGTCTGTGTGTGAGCGTGTGTTGGCACATGTGAGTCTGTGTGTATGAGCCTCAGCGTCCTGGCCTTCCATATGGGTTGGTGAGCCCCTCCCTAGCACAAGTTTGGTGGTTATAAGTGGGTGGAAGAGCCGGGCGTGGTGGCTTACGCCTGTAATCCCAACACTTTAAGAGGCCGAGGCAGGAGGATCACGAGGTCAGGAAGGAGTTCAAGAGCAGCCTGGCGAACATTGTGAAACCCCCCATCTCTACTAAAAATACAAAAAAATAGCGAGGTGTGGTGGCAGGTGCCTGTAATCCCAGCTACTCGGGAGGCTGAGGCAGAAGAATCACTTGAACCGGGAGGCAGAGGGTGCAGTGAGCTGAGACCACGCTATTGCACTCCAGCCTGGGCAATGGAGCAAGACCCTATCTCAGAAAAAGAAAAAAAGTAGGTGGAAGATCAGGGGCCCTGTGCACAGTCTGCCTCTAACCAGATCTCTTCTTTCCTTCTCTTCCTCTCTTTACAATAGATCCAGAACTAGAACCACAGCCCCTTCTGAGGAGCTTCCAAATGTAAGTGACCTGGGACCTCCCGGTGGGATGGGTGTCTCACACTGTGCAGTGACCCAAGGTGGGGGGCTCAGGAGCTCTGTGTCTCCTCCAAGCTCTAGGAGGAGAAGACAGGACCCCTAAGGCCCGCAGACCTTGTCCACACCTCGCCTCCAGGTGGCAGGTCCCCTGGCCTGCGTTGGCCACTCTGTGCCTGCGTGGTCCTCAGCCAGTCTGTGCCAGAGAGGGCACAGGAAGGCCCTGCAAATGGGCCAACCACTGGTTTCAGAGACCCAGCCCAGGCCCTGTCCTGGTTCTGCTGCAGGGTAGCCTGGGGCAAGACTGTTGTGGGGAGGAGGCCCTCACTGAGCTGATTCTGAGGACTGGGGGTCTGAGCTTGGCTCTGTCTCTAATCTATTAAAGATTTGTTGTTTTGAGACCAGGTCGCACTCTGTTGCCTAGGCTGGGGTGCAGTGGCATCATCAGGGCTCACTGAGCCTCTATCTCCCTAGGTTCAGGTGATCCTCCCACCTCAGCCTCCCTAGTAGCTGGCACTACAGGCATGTGCCACCATGCCCAGCTTATTTTTGCACTTTTTGTAGCAACAGGGGTTTACCATGTTGCCCGGGGCACGGTGGCTCAGGCCTGCAATCCCAGCACTTTGGGAAGCCAAGGCAGGAGGATTGCTTAAGGCCAGGAGCTCAAGGCCAGCCTAGGCAACATATTGAGCCCCGTCTCAGCAAAAATTAAAAATAAATAAAATTATAAATAAACAAATATGCAAAATGGAAAACCTTTGCTAAAGTTGCAAGAGTATTACAGTGGCCTCGCATTACGCCCTTTGTTAAGATTTTCCCGTGGGTAACATTTGCCACATTCACTTCATCTCTTTCTCACTAATATGTTAAATAAAAATAGCCATGTGAATTTTCTTCCATTTTTGCTGAATCACTGGGGCAAATTGCAGGCGTGATGCCCCTTAACCTCAGTCCTTCAGGTCTTTCATAAGAGCAAGGCCATTCTCTTATATAACCCTGGCACAGTTACCTACCCCAGAAAACTGATTTAACATTGACGTGATTCTGTTATCTATGGATCTTAATGGCATTGTGCTGATGGTCTCAGTGTTTACAGCAGCTTTATTTTTCTTTTAGTTCAGGATCATCATCGTGTTTTTAAAAAAGGTTTAAGGAATTTCTTCTTCACTGACTTAAGACATTGCCTACTCTAGGGGCTTCCAGAGTCTTTTAATCCTCGGCATTCATTAAATACATTTTACAATGGGATTTGGCCTGTGTGCGCACATATGCAAACATGCGTGTGAAAGTCAAACCCTGAAACTGAGGTTTCTCAGATTATCTCGTACTCACCATCCGCTGTGCTCTGGTCTGCGTCTCATTTTGTAAAAATGATGGCCTTGACCCCTTCCCTTGATGTCAAGAGCCACTGTGGACTCTGCTTTGGAATTTGAAAACTCTGGCTTCCTGGGCAGAAATTTCGAAGGGGGAAGGCGAAGCTCCCACTGGTCCAGGGTTGGGATTGGTTGATGTGGGGTCCCCTTGAAGCTGGGACCAGACAGGCATTCATTTGTGGCCCAGAGCTTCTCAGCCTACTGCTGCTGGCGGCTGGACCAACCAAGTCCTTCCTTTTCATCAAGCCCCTTGGGCGTAGAATGCTTAGTCACAAGCAGCCCAACCCCGGGGAGATGGATTCTTTGCGCTGTGACATTGGACAGGTGTGTTACCCCAGCCAGCCGCTAGGCAGGCATGGAGGTGATGGCCTCCAGAGTCATCATCATCATAATTATAGACGTCAATAATCATTGCTAATACTTCCTGGACTCAGCATGCTCAGATGGTGCTGAGAGGTTTCGTGCGTTAACTCATGTTTCTCTGTCAACCCTAAGAAGTTGGGTGTGCTGTTGAAAAAACATGACATAAATTTATTGAGTGCTTCCTGCTAAGCATGTCACAGACCCACACACAGCCTCCTCTGGAGCCCTGTGGGGTGGGTGCTGATGTCATCCCCATTGTACAGATTGGGAAACTGAGGCTTGGAGAGATGAATTGATTGTTCTCAAGGTCACACAGCTAGGAAGGATTTGAACCTAATTGAGCTGACCCTAGCCCACTTCCTCAGGCTGGGAGCGGCCTCTGGTTCCAGCCCCTTCCTCTTAAGGCCTTCCTCCTGGTTAATGAGAAGTCAAGGGCAGCTGGGGAATGAGGCTCCTGCTGCTGTGAGGCTGGAATGTGAGTTCTGCTTCCAGATAAAGAGTATTATGCAAGGGGCCCTGCCTGGGCTGGCAGCTTTATAGGCAATAAACAGAGGCTGCCAGTTCTTCTTTTTGAGGCTTGCTGATGTATTTGCACATGGGAGCCCATTTTATAGAAGAGCCTGACAGGCAGGTTTGCCCTCAGTTTTATCTGATGCCTCTTCCAAGCAGCCCTCTTGGCTTACGCTTTCTGAAAGGGCTCCTCATCCCCGACATAGCAGGGGTGTCTAGAGGAACAGGGTGAAAGAACAGATGCTGTCACCTCTGAAGTCTGAGCACTGATGGTGTCCGCCCTCCTCACTGGGCACGTCACTTGGGGGCTCAAATCTTCAGGTTCTCATCTGAGAAAGGGCATGACACAGATATGTAAAGTGGTTGGTTGTTCAGTGGAGCCGGAACTTTAATGGACCAGCCCAGAAAAGTATTGCTGACAGGGAGCAACCCATGTAGTGGAGTCCATGGAGCTGGGGAGTCAGACAGTCCCTAGCTCAAATCCCAGCTCCAGCTCTGCCGGCCGCGTGACCTGCAGGGGTCACTGAACTACTGTGAGCCTCAGCTAACCCACCCCTAAAGTGGAGCAATAGCGGCACCCAGGAGGGTTAGAAAGACAGTGATCCTGGGATTTTGGGGTGGGGGTTACCTCACCACTTTTTTATTTTTTTGAGACGGAGTCTTGCTCTGTCACCCGGGGTGGAGCGCAGTGGCACGATCTCTGTTCACTGCAACCTCCACCTCCCGGGTTCAAGTGATTCTCCTGCCTCAACCTTCTGAGTAGCTGGGATTACAGGCACCTACCACCATGGCCGGCTAAATTTTGTATTTTTAGTAGAGACGGGTTTCACCATGTTGGTCAGGCTGGTCTCGAACTCCTGACCTTGTCATCCTCCCGCCTCAGCCTCCCAAAGTGCTGGGATTACAGGTGTGAGCCACTGCGCCCTCCCAACCTCACCACTTTGTAAGCACGGTGAGGTTAAGTGCTCAAAAGGCCTAGCACATCAGTGCCAAGCACCCCACATGCAGTTTCTCATTTTATACCCCAAGGTGAGCCCCCCAGAGCAACTCCCCACCCCCTCAGCTATGGGGCCAAGTCCAGAAATCAGATTCACCTTCCTGGTGCCTGGGGTAATTTAAGGAAGAAAGGAGATTCTTAAGAGGGAGACCTTCTCGGGGCTTGTCGTGAGATCTCCCATGGGGTGCCTGTCCCCACACCCCCCACCCATTTTAAACTGGTAAATGTAGGGGGTGTTAATATAACAGGCCTATGACTTCCAATGCTGTCAGAAAAGGCCACCTCAGTCCTGTTCAACAAGAGTGCCAATTTCAACATTCACTTCCTGGAAGGTCCAAGACCGTAATAAAATGGTATTTATTGTTTACTCTGGTTATTAAAGTCATGCATTTTTGGCCAGGCGAGGTGGCTCATGCCTATAATCCCAGCACTTTGGGAGGCTGAGGTGAGTGGATCACTTGAGGTCAGGAGTTCAAGACCCGCCTGGCCAACATGACGAAACCCCATCTCTACTAAAAATACAGAAATTACCCGTGCATGGTGGTGCGCACCTGGAGTACCAGCTACTCTGGAGGCTAAGCAAGAGAAAACAAGCGGCTGGATTTGGACCAGTGGCCAGTTTGCTGACCTTGTTGTAAGCAGTGATTTGTTGAATAAACCAGCATTTATTTAATTAATTCCCTAGTGATGGGAAATTGGTTGGTTACAGTTTCTCTGTCTTGTAAACCACTTTGCATTTTGTTTGTTTGTTGAGACAGGGTCTTGCTCTGTCCCTCAAGCTGGAGAGCAGTGGTGCGATCCAGCTCACTACAGCCTTGACCTTCCAGACCCAAGCCTTCCTCCCACCTCAGCCTCCTGAGTACCTGGGATTACATGCATGCCACCATGCCTGGCTAATTATTTTTTGTAGAGACTGGGTCTTACTATGCTGCCAGGCTGGTTTCAAACTCCTGGGCTCAAGTAATCCTCCTGACTTGGCCTTCCAAAATTCTGGGATTATAGGCAAGAGCTCCCATGCCTGGCCTCTATTTTCCACTGTTGTAAAAGACACGTAACGTAAAGCTGACCGTCTCAACCACTTGAAAGTGTACCATTCAGTCGCGGGAAGTAGATTTAAAGCGTTGTGCAGCCAGTCTCCAGCAGTTTTTCATTTGGCAAAACCAAACCCAGTGAACGCCTTTTGAGTGGGCATCTTTACAGGTTGGTCTGGGCAAGAACTGGGCTTGCTGATCGAATGGGGTGCACGTGTTTGAGATGCTGGGCGTGTGTTGATGAATCATTGACCCTGCAGAGGTTGCCCTTATTTACACTCTGGCCTGATATCACTGACAGCCTTGGGGCATCGAGATGGAGTGGTGGCACCTCCCTGGGGAGCTCCTGCCTTCAGGACTTTAGGAAACGAGATTTAAAACGATTTATCCTAGAGAAACAGCTCCCAGTCTGCCAGCCTTCCTCATTTGGGGAAGACAAGAAAAACCCAGTAAGCAAAAAATAGCTCTGAATACTGGGCCAGACTCGAGGCTGAAAAACACATCCCACCCCTAGAGGAGATGTGCTGGTAGCACCTGCGCTCAGGAGTGCCCTGAGCCTCAGTGTGAAAGTCATTCGGTTTCTACCCTGCTCTGTGACTCTGGGCACATCCTTTAACCTCTCTGTGGGCTCCAGGGTCCTCTGTCAAAATGGGCCTGACGTAGAAGCTCCCTTCTCTGGCTGTGAGGGTCGGGGAAGAAAAACTATGAAAGT